AGAACATAGATGGATGTAATGGACTTCTACAAGAAAGTATGGTCGCCATTCTCATGTGAGCAGGTGCGTGCACTTGAAATGAGTAAAATCAAAAATACAATTGAATAAGCGTATTTTTTAAATACTTTTGGATTAAATACTTTGATATTTAGTATATTAAAATCTACAGATTGTGAAGACAAGATTATATGGTCATTGAGCACGTGCATTCACATGCGCACGCGTGCAATGCTAAAATTTGAATGAAATTGGTACACTTCTGGGTAAACGATGTTAAAGTCTCAAATGCATAGAGTTTCTCTTATTTAATGAAGCTTATAGGGAATATGGCACCAAAAGGGAGTTGGGGAGCGTTTGGGGAACATCTGTAACGGTCCCCGTTACAATTAGCACTAGTTGATTACATTTTAACGAACCAAGAGTTGTATACAAGTCATTTTTAAGCAAACATCATGCAACATCAATATTTGTATCATTTAAATGATTAAGGTAGGATTCTTCTCACACAAAACTGAATTTCTTGTATTTAAAAATTAACGAAATTTTCACAGAATCAAGAAGAATACAATATTACTAAGTAATGATATCAGTTAGATAAGTTTTGACCGTTTTATATTAGAATCAAGGTCAGGTCAAGGTCATTACCTTTTCCCTGGTCATTAAGAATGAAAATAACTGCATCGAATCATCAGATAGAGTCTTCTATTCAAAAAGATTAAATGTTTTTCTTTTTGTATAAAAAGATATTACCATGTAGGGTCTAAGCCTATAAGATGATATTACTAAACTGACACAAATAGTTTAACACAAATGGATTTTGGCTAATCCGAATTTTCTCTATTTTTCTTAATTTTTTAAAGGATATTTAAGTTATTTTTATATGCGCCATATATTTAAATTTTTCTTATTTTCACATATGGTAAAAAGAAGTCATATTTAGATACAAAATGATGCAAAAACAAAAAGTTTTGACCGTTTAGTAAGAGAGGTAAAACACTTTCAATGGATTTTTGGCTCATATCTGTACTTAGATTGGAAGCTTTCAAAGCTAACAGAATTGTAGTTTGTTTGAAAATTGATATATTTTAAAACGTAAGTTCTTTATAATTAATTTAGCTAACATTTGAAAAATTCTTCTAGTCTTTGATTGTGTAAAAATTATAACCAAATTAGTTGTTCGAAAATAATTTTGAGAGGCAGAAAAGAAGATATTTTCATACGCCACCATTCCACCAAAAATATAGTCCCTGCTAGTTTTCGAACACAGTTTACCATTTCTATTTAAAGTTGTACAATTGTGATGAGGAAAGAAAAATATGGTCTATTTTAAATCTATAAGACATATACGCAAATATACATTGAACATTTCATCTACTGTAAATCACTTTTTATTCGCAAGAACTTTATTTTCGCGTAATTACGCGAGACAGTGTGCTCGCCAAAATTTAATTCTCACGTATAATAGTATTCCTTAAGATTATATAAAGCAATAACCACAACTCGCGAAAATTATGTCTCGCTAATCAAGAGCCAATGACTATCTCGCGAAAATAAGGTGTCGCGAAAATATAGTGATTTACAGTATTCAGAAATCAGAGAAGAATCCTACTTTAAATCTTTAGTCTTCTGATAATTCTTGATGGCAAAATGTATATTTTCCGACTTGACTGGCCAATTCGGACATCTGCTCATCAATATCATCGCCTTTGGACATTATTCCTGGAGGTAAATAGAAGTAGCCCTACATTCATGGTGAAAATAAAATTAGCTCACATTTATATGATAGTATTTTCTCAATGTCCTAAGTAATTGTTTTATTATCTAGGGGTTTTAAATAAGGATCTGTGTAAGAGGTTCAATCTTTTTTATGTTCCTAAAATTGTGGCCTGTGAGTTTCACCTAAAAACTAAATTATAATTAAGATTGACAGAAACTTTTTTTCTTAGCAATTTCCTAGATAGAGCCACAATTTATACATATTTAAAGTATAGCCCCTTTTAAATAGAGTATTCAGTTGCAAACTGTTCAAATTATTTTATAGTGCTTAGTACGTGCAAGCTAGCAGTCAAACCTCTTATAACAGGCACTTAAACTTAATACATGAATTTAATTTATATGTACAAGTGTAACGCATACTTTCCTTTTTGCAAACGAAAAGGTATGGCAAGAATTACTTCTGATATTCTGATTCACTTCAGTCAAGCTGAATCATATTTTAGGTTTTATTTTATTTGTTTTTATTTGTTTTTTTGATATTTTTTTCATTATATGTATAACAAGAAAAGGATCAACTAAGTTGTGAAAACTTATTCATACTACGAATTTTACGTTTGTCATAATTTTTGAGTGATTGATGCTATGGTTTTCATATACAGTACGAGGGGTGATCAAAAAGTTCGCGAACAAATTGAATAACTTCCGTAAAAGAAACAATATCTGGTTTAAATGTTGATTATATTTTAAATCAATCCTCTCCGATTTTAATGCACATCAACCATTGTTCCACGCATGCGCGAATCACGTGATATTAGTGACCCCTTCCGTAGCTTTCTGTCATAAAAGTTGAAAGATTTTTCTGAGTTTTATATTTCTTTGCATGTGAGTTAGTTTTTATGACAAGAACAGCTCAATTGTCAGAAATGGTCAAATCTCGGTAACAGAATAGATGGATAAGAATATCCTTTCCAAAAATAAGCATGGCGACCATTAAATCACAAATCTTCTGTCTCGGGAGAGACCTTTATTCAAGGTGGATAGAGAAAGGGTGCCTTCAACCTTTATTCAAGGTGGATAGAGAAAGGGTGCCTTCTTTTTATCATATCTAATATGTTTAAAATTTACGATATCTTAGGTATTTAATAATTATATTATTGTTAAAATATTCAAATATTTTTCAAAGTGTAAATTGAAGGTCTTTGATAGCAAATTGCTTAATTAAAAACACATATCTATTCAAACTTGCTTTCACTGGGCAAGATGACAGATATCATTTTTAACCATCTGCCTTTCCTCACTAAAACGATCAATCCAATCATTAATTCAATTTATAGAAACTCATTTATCTTAATAAACTGCTACAAATTATCATTTGATACTGCAGAGGGATTTCTCAGTTATACAATAAATTGTACAGTCGTTTGTTGAACGAGTTCGACTGACAACCATTTTTCGTCACAAGTGACCTACATAGTGACGTCATTTTAACATAGTGACGTCATAAACAAGGAGAAAAACTTTATTCAGCATTTGCTATTTATAGATCGTGTGAATGGCTATGTGTGTACCGAATTTCATTCTAATCTGATTTTTGGTTTTGTAGATATAGAGATAGTCGCGAACTTTTTGATCACCCCTCATAGTATTTCAAAGGCCTACATGTATTTCATTATTTTACAAAACCATTGTTTGTGTTGCAACATTTCAACCTCTTTACAATGCCTTAACTTTTGAATGGTGAAAGCTAGGGCTTTTGTTTATCATCCGTGCAGACTTGTATTTGACCTACGTTTTTTTAATCTTCAGCGTTGCTTCTAACTTTTGAACGGTTAGTGCTTGGTCTTACATCTTCCTTGTGAGAAAAACTTTTCAAATATAATTTATACCTATAATTCTTGGCCTTATCTTTGGATTACGACATGTTTTTTGAAAAAAAAAAGCTTAATCTTTGGCCATATTTTTGAATGGTCAGTGCTACAGCTTTCATATTTCACACATGTATTCCTTGTGGAAATCCTTGTTTGGGTATGAAAATTTTTGAACTCTTGATTTACAGTTGAAAAAAACTAACCTACATTTTAAAAAAAAAACTTAAAATTTGATTTGATCGAGCTTTAAAATGTGGCATTATTGAACACACCCCGTTTAGAATATTTATGACGTCTTTATAGATAAAGCAGTTGGCTTTTCCCCATGATTAGTTAGTTTTTAAATAAGTAAACTAAACAGACATTTTGTACAAATATTTATCATGCACTTTGTTATCTCATTCGTCCTGTCTTTTTCCTTGAAAATGCTTGTTACAATTTCAGTCAACTTCCTTTGTATTTTCAGTAGCAATCCAAAATAACTAAATGTATACAGATGTTTAAAAAGAAATATTACAGGTTAAAAGTACATAAAATTCCAGGAGAGATAAATATGTATGTGTTTCTTGATATAACGTAGAATGCTACTTTAGGCATGGAATATCCTACTTGCGTTTTAATTTTTCATGGTTTTAACCTGGAATATTGACAGTAGATATGAAAGGTAAGCAAAATGTTACTGATATCAAATATCACTCAGAAATAAATATATACCCGGTATACTCTAAATTGAACTCTGAGAAATTAGTGATGATCAAATGTAGCCTTTTTACATGTAAAAATGTGTTAACTATATTAATTAAACATAGTAATTGATTCGTATGTTTCTTCTTACATACGCCTTTAGAGACAAAAATGTGGATGAAATATTTGATATTTCTTTTTTCTATTTTCTAAAAATTCCCTTGGTGACGTCAACGATGGTTTGCATGTTTTTCGGAATAGGTAATTATTTTTTTTATCAGTAGATCATATTTTCAAAATTAATGAGCAAATAGTTCTATTGATTAATATTGATAACATACCATCATATTTAGGGTGCCGTTGTGCTACTAAATAGGTCGTCCATTTAAATCTGAAGGAGGTCAAATATTTCAATGATAAAACAGTTCCATGGGAATTTAACTCAATCCGATTTTTATCAATACTAGTATATTTGACTACATTTAGTTTATGAGCATTATAATAATAATGAAAGGTCCATTGACTACTTACTGGACATAATTTGAGACATAGAACACATGGAGCAAAATTAATTGCCTCCTATCCTGTAGAAAAACTTTCAGAAAGCCTTATTGACAAAAAGGTATTATCGTCGTCTCTTTTTTTTTTGTATGTTACGACTTCAATTTTCGTGTTTATTGAATAGTTTACATATCAATTTTCATGAATTATATGGCTTAAATCTTGTAGCTTGCATTGATGACAACTAAATGACAGTGCAACGGAGTTGACATCTATGTTAAACATGGTAAGAATGTGTTTTTCAAATAGAACAGAATTTTCACATTTATACTTTTCTTTAAAATGCTGTATCTTAAAGCTTAAAATATTTTCCTCAACCGTGCTAAAGTTTTCTCTCTCTCTCTCGTGCCAATATTTTTAGCGTAAATTGCCTGTAAATGATACAGTTGAAATTCGCTATCACGAACACTGATACATCGAATGTCATGAATAAAACATACAGAAATAACATACAGTGTTCAAGATCAAAAGTCAATAAAACAAAACAAAATTGAAGCAGAAACAAGAGGCCCACGGGCCTTATAGCTCACCTGAGTATCTTGTAACAACTTTCCAACAATTGAATTGGCTCGTGTATTAAATGAAAGGCCATGAAATTCAAAATTTTGCAAGACGAACTATTGCTTATCATAACTATACACTTAGCTAGCTTACTTTGGTTACTTAATACCCAGAGGTAGATCAGATTAACAAAGAGAAAATGCATTTCCACTTTATGACCAATTTCAAAGATTTTGAAATATCTTACGGTATAAGGGCGAAGCTAATAGTAAAAGATAAAAAGCAGTTATGTTCTAAATTCACCAGTTCAAACGAACATAAATTATTTATAAATAAAAACTCAAAACACCAATATAAAGGATGAGCTCGCATGCGCGAGTGCAACAGCTTTTTAATTTTACAATCGTTATAACATTAAATAAATCTTCGTCACATACAAGTAATCACCCCGTTCTACAAAAGAGAAACGATAAGTTATTGAACACATTCATGAAAAGAAAAACCATACAAAATAATATACTTGGGGAGGGGTGGGGGGGGGGGGGTCTGTTGCACTTAAGGCAGCGAAACTTCGAATGACTTAAAAAACCCTTAATACAACCCAATACGACGTATACATGCCTAGCATGATTTTAACCTACAGAACCGCGAATCTTAAAACCAATCGATCTTCGATACAGCCACGCCCCCAAATTCCGTAAACAAACCAACGTGTTTACCGTAACTTTTATAAATATATATCTATTAACGTATTTTAAATGGATGTACGTGATTGTTTGTTTTTTTTTATGCTCTTTGAAACATTATAATGCCTTCCATATTCTGTTTGTAGTAAAACTGAACATTGGTCAGAAAATGCTCCTACGAGTTTTTCAGCTGTCTTTTTTCGCATCATTAGTTGATTTCGTCTCAGGTTTTGGTAAGAATTTATCATTTTATTTATTCAGTTTTTTTAACAAGAATGATTTAGCGAAATTAGTCATATTTTGGTAGTGTATAGAACGGTAGTAAAATAATTAAAATAACAATATACAATTGTTATTAACGGTGAAAAATAAGTGAGAAGTTTTTATTTATTTTTTCAAGCAGGTTTGTTCTTCTAACTGGGTCATCAATTTACTATTTTTACTTATTTTAATGTATATAAAATAATAGAATAATTAGAACAGGCCAACTAAGTCAGCTAGTATAAGAAAGAACAATCAATCTCTACTTTACTTCACAATCAATACTTTACTTTAAAATGTACTTTTCTGTGTAAGTACTAGATCATGTATTTGCAGAAGAGCCAACGAAATGTATCATCATACAGGACAAGCAAGCGCTTAAACTACCCAAGGGTTTGATTTATTTTTTTATGTGTTTGTGTATGTTTTATGAATATAAATGAAAAAAGTATTCTTTAAATGGAGTTATTTATGAAACATTTGAAATGCTAGACATTAATAATTTAAGAGTTTTTTATGGAACGCCATCACTGCCTTATAGCATACAACTATGCATTTATTATGTCAATTTATCATTACATGATGTGAACATATCTTTACGTTATGTCCATTTTTTATGAGATGATGTAAATATATCTTAACATCATGTCAATGCTGCATTACATAAAGTAAATACATCCTTTCATTATGTCAGCACTTCATAACTTGAAGTAAAAAATTCATTATATGAAGTGATAATGTGTTTACATTGTGTTAAAACTTTCTTGGATGAAATGAATTTTTCTTTACATCATTTCATTTCTTTAAAATATGAGGTCAAAACTGCATTACGTCAAGTAAATTGTGTTTTATAATGAAACTTATCATTACACGAAGTCAAAAGCCCATTCCTTTTTCAGAATGTATATTTCTATTATATCAAAGCATTATTACGTGATATGGATTTATCTTTATTTTACGGCGAGAGTATCATGATATGAGGTGAACACATCTTACCTTTATGTCAGTGCTTTATTATGTGGTGTAAAAAGTGTATAACATAATGTGAACATATCTTTATATTATATCAATACTTTATTACATTATGTCAAAACTCCATTCCGTGATGTGGATATATAATTATGTTATGTCAACTTTTTCTTATGTGATTTAAAAATATCTTTATATTGTGTTAACTCTTTATCGTGTTGATTCCAAAAGTTCATTACCTGATGTTAAAAAACATTTACATTATCTAAAAGCTGTATATCTAATATATAATGAATGTTGACGACCGTGATTTAATGAGTAAGAAGGGGGGGGGGGGGGTCCTGATTGATTAGGACAAATTACAGGCACATAATATCACCCCCCCCCCTCTTTTCCCAGACATAACTTTACTATAGAAAATGTAATGTTCATTGAAACTGTACAGCCCCCACCCCCACTTTTTGTTGAAGTATAATCCACTAAGGGTATTGTAATATATCTGGAAAAAAATAGGACTGATCGAAGTTGGACCCCTCTCTCCGAAACAGCATTTTCGGGCTTGGACTTTTTTTTTTCTTGGCTTGTCAAGTTTTTTCGGGTAAATGATTTTTTTTCCGGCTGACCTCCTCTTTCAAAAAAAAGATTGTACGTCACTGGAGTTAGTAATTTTTTTTAATCATTCCAGGGCCAGAATTCTATTACAAAAATATACCAGTCGCTCATCTAAATCAATTGAATATGCCTTAGTAAGCATGCATGGGCACATATCAGTGGCAGATATGGGAATCTTGAAACAAGGGGGACGGTATATGGTTGGAGACCAAGGGCGGAAAGCGGAGAAGCTCTCAGGCTTAATAGTTTTATAGAAAAAAAGTTTTCAACTTAATTCAGCTAAGCTTATTGTGAAACTAATGCAATGTCCTTCAAAGTTTAAGACTTTTATTAAAAAAAAAAGAATCAAAATAAAAAGAAAAAAATTATTGCTGCACGACTCATAATATTTGATTTATTTAATTATGAGATTAAAGTAAACACCACTGAATTTCGACGTGACTTTAATCCACAGTCGCAGTGTTAATGCTTTGCACGTCAGTCATTCAAATCGCTGAGAATCTCTTCTACGACAGTTTTTCTCCCGCCATTTTTAGTGCTTGCGGAACGCGGAAAATACGTTATGCTCATATAAAGGCCGAGGATACCCGTGTTCGCATAACGTAATAGTGAATCGACATAATGTAGAAGAGTGCGCACAGTATGGCATGAGCTTTTCACATCAGTTAATAAAAACTAAGATCGCATGAAAAGTTAACATAACGAAATGCAAGTCGACGAAATATAATTGTAGTATGTGTAAATGTCATAAAGAGTTGATATAATGTAAAGGAAAGTTAATACGATGCAATAATAGTGTGGGTTAATGTCATAAAGAGTTGACATAATGTAATGGAAGGTTGACACAATGCAATAGTAGAGTGGGTTAATGTCATAAAGAGTTGACATAATGTAATGGAAGGTTGACACAATGCAACAGTAGTGTGGGTTAATGTCATAAAGAGTTGACATAATGTAATGGAAGGTTGACACAATGCAATAGTAGAGTGGGTTAATGTCATAAAGAGTTGACATAATGTAATGGAAGGTTGACACAATGCAACAGTAGTGTGGGTTAATGTCATAAAGAGTTGACATAATGTAATGGAAGGTTGACACAATGCAACAGTAGTGTGGGTTAATGTCATAAAGAGTTGACATAATGTAATGGAAGGTTGACACAATGCAATAGTAGAGTGGGTTAATGTCATAAAGAGTTGACATAATGTAATGGAAGGTTGACACAATGCAACAGTAGTGTGGGTTAATGTCATAAAGAGTTGACATAATGTAATGGAAGGTTGACACAATGCAATAGTAGTGTTCTGCTATAAGGCAGTGACGGCGTTCCATAGTTTTTTAAGAGTTTAATTTTATTTGTTAATTGTACATTCATATTCAAAGAAAAAACTTTCACCTAATTTCTTAATTTCCTCTCAAAGTTCCAGAATTTCTTACAAAAAACAAAGACGTCTGTCGTCATGGAAGCGCTAACTGGCAGGGTGAGTATTATTTTGTCGGGAGGTTTCAAAAAAAGGTTGTTTTTTTTTCATATTCCTCACCCCACAACTATAGTTCTGTCAGACACTTTATAACGGATGACGTCAATTTGAAATACATAATAGGAACCTTTAATCATAAATTTTAAAAGAGTCAAAATTTAGGGAACCCCTATACATGTGTATCTATCAAATGGCGTCATGATTTCATAAATATATTGGATTCTGAAGACGATTACAAAACATGAAACAAACCTTCTATCCTTCTGGGTTCAGTAAATCAGAAGTGAAAAAAAATGTTAGAATACAGAGTAAGAATACCCTGGGTCCGCCGTCATAAAACATACTTCAGTCTGAGAAAACTCTCAAGTCTGAACATTTTCTCAAATCCAAAATTCTCAGACTCAGCTCAGCGGCTGTCATAAAAACGCTGAGAAAAATAAAAATTCCTTAAACTCTGTTTTATTCTAAAATTTTCAGGTGAGTAATTCTCAAGACGTGAGTTGAGAATTTTTTTGAGAATTCTCAAAGTTTTATGACGGCGGACCCTGGTCCCTGCTGATAAAGCTGGTAACATTTAAACAACACTGCCTTTGTTTGTAAGGCGCATTGTTTAAAATTATATCTTTGATTGATTGATTGATTGTATATTGTTTAACGTCCCTCTCGAGAATTTTTCACTCATATGGAGACGCCACCATTTGCCAGTGGAGAGCTGCAAATTTTGTCCTTTACTCGGCACTCAGGGCCATTGAGCAGTGAGGGATCTTTTTCGTGCCAGCACCTTCTGCGACACGGGACCTCGGTTTATACGGTCTCATCCGAAGGACCGGTCTCCATGTCCCGCAGTGGGATTCGAACCCGCGACGTAAGGATTGACTCCTTACTTCGCGACTCTGAAGCAGACGCTTATATCTTAGAAGAACAGGGAAGAACAGGGATTTAATTGTACTAGTGGTAATTCAACTTGTATCCAGAGCTCCCTCTCTAAAGATTGGTTGTTGTATATTGTTTAACGTCCCTCTCGTGAATTTTTCACTCATATGAAGACGCCACTACTTGCCTGTCGAGAGCTGCAAATTTTGTCCTATACTCGGCACTTAAGGCCATTAAGCAAGGAAAGATCTTTAGTGCCAGCACCTACTGCGACACGGGACCTCGATTTATACGGTCTCATCTGAGGGACCGGTCTCCACGTCACACAGTGGTATTTGAACCCGCGACGTAAGGATCAACATTGTTTTATGGACTTTGAGATTGAATACTGTTCGTTCTCTCCATATCCTCTTCCTTACTTCGTGACTCTAGAGCAGACGCTTTTACCACTGCGATACGCGGGCGACTAATGAAATGGAATTCTGATATCTAAATTGGATCCCAAAACTTCACAAAAAAAGATACATAGAGGGTTCCAGTAAATGTTCTATCAAGCCTTCTTCTTTACTTCTCACAGTTGTGAAAGAGAAACTACAGGATTACTGTGCAAAAATATATTCGAGAAGTGGTGTAAATCAGACGTTGATATATACTTAAAATTCAAAGGATCTTTTGTAAATTTGAAATCACATATTTTACCAAAACTATAACAGCATAAAAATTGACAACTTATCGACTTTAATATATATATATATATATATATATATATATATATATATATATATATATATATATATATATATATATAAAGCACTAAAAAACCAACAACACTGTATATCCTAACTGTCGGATCTACCAAGTAGATACAAGGTCACGGATGGAAATTTATATAAAGCACTATAAATGACCAACGACAGGAACAATAAAAATTGTCAAATTTTCGGGACGCCCTGTCCCTTCCTCGGGACAAAGAAAAAAGTTAAAAAGTCATAAGAACAAAGGAAAAAGAGAAACAAAAACAACTAGCACTACTACTAAACTACTAAACACTAGATATTTACATACTTAATTACATGTTGAATTGGAAATTTTTAAGAACACTAATAAAGAAAGAAATAAGGACCGCTATGAAATACGTCCGGTCTATCGGGAATACTCATGTGAAGTGCGATTTTCATAATTGAACGGATTAACTATGCTGATTAATTACGACAATCAGTAAATCGTACATTGTTTCATTCTCTCAAAATGGCGTAACTTTACTTAATAAAGAATAATCAAAGAAAAATAATATAGCAGGGATATTTAAACATATGAATTATGATCCATTATAAATTTTGAAATATTTAAGGATTTATTACCGGGAAAAAATAATTAACAAAGGCGTAAGCAATAAATAGTTATGTGGGTTGTTCGAGAGTTGGTGACGCAAATTAACTGTAGAGTTTACACTAAATTGAGAGAATAATCTTGTTTAGTATCATCAGGAATTGGGTCTAGTTTACGTTCATTCTGGTGAAGTCATTCAGTTTGTTAATACCATTAGGGCGGAATGACTTCAATCTGTGCATCCAGAACTTTTCTTTGTTTTTTCTCTGAGCATCTGTCCATCTTGGGTTATGGTCAATCACCACTACTGTCATGTCCTCCCATTTCTGACCCTCAAGGTTGAAATGTTCCCCAACGGGTTCATTGAGTTTTTTTAGTCCTAATGGTCGAACGGTGGTTATTGACTCTCCTGCGGAGATCTCCTGTTTCACCAATATACTGTTTGGAGCAAACTTTGCAACTGATGAGATAAATGCAGTTGTCAGTATGACAGGACAGATTCCCTAGTATTTTGTAGCTGCGGCCTGTAACAGGGCTGTTAAAACTGTCCGTGTCAGTGCTGTGCTTACAAAGAAGACATCTTCTGTCAGAGCAAGTTTTAAAGCCCCCGTTAGGTAATGGGTTATCCAGTCTGGTTCTGTCTTCATGGGCAGACTGGAACGCAACTTGTTACTTCAAGCACCATTTAGGCCCCATAGCTGGTTGCGTTTCATTGACGATATAGAGATGAAGTGGGTGGAATGTCGCGAGAGCCTCGAGGCATTCATTACGTTTGCCAACACCTTTCATCAGTCGATCAAATTTACAGTAGACGTATCTAATTCGAAAAACGTATTCCTCGATACTACATCTACCCTGATTGATGGTGAAATCGAATTCAGTCTCCACACTAAACCCACTGACTCCCATCTATATCTTATGCCCTCTAGCTGTCATCCCCCACACACTTTTAAGGGAGTGCCTAAGGGTCTAGCCACCAGAATTCGACGCATCTGTTCGTCCCCTGCTTTATATCAGGAGCAAAGTGGTCTTCTTAAGTCCCACTTATGCAAAAGAGGCTACAATGCCCGCACCGTACAAACAGCTATTGATGAGATGGCGGGACATGACAGGCAAAACCTATTACGCTACAAGGAGAAAGACAATAGCGGCAGGGTCCCTCTGGTAACCACATACCATCCCGTCCTTAAGAACCTTAGCGGTATCCTTCAAAAAAACCTACCAATTCTCCATTCAAACAAACGAATGGCAGAGGTCTTTAAGGAACCCCAATTGGCTGCATACAGACGCCCAAGGAACCTAAAGGACATGGTAGTAAGAACCAGACTGATAACCCATTACCTAACGGGGGCTTTAAAACTTGCTCTGACAGAAGATGTCTTCTTTGTAAGCACAGCACTGACACGGACAGTTTTAACAGCCCTGTTACAGGCCGCAGCTACAAAATACTAGGGAATCTGTCCTGTCATACTGACAACTGCATTTATCTCATCAGTTGCAAAGTTTGCTCCAAACAGTATATTGGTGAAACAGGAGATCTCCGCAGGAGAGTCAATAACCACCGTTCGACCATTAGGACTAAAAAACTCAATGAACCCGTTGGGGAACATTTCAACCTTGAGGGTCACAAATGGGAGGACATGACTGTAGTGGTGATTGACCATAACCCAAGATGGACAGATGCTCAGAGAAAAAACAAAGAAAAGTTCTGGATGCACAGATTGAAGTCATTCCGCCCTAATGGTATTAACAAACTGAATGACTTCACCAGAATGAACGTAAACTAGACCCAATTCCTGATGATACTAAACAAGATTATTCTCTCAATTTAGTGTAAACTCTACAGTTAATTTGCGTCACCAACTCTCGAACAACCCACATAACTATTTATTGCTTACGCCTTTGTTAATTATTTTTTCCCGGTAATAAATCCTTAAATATTTCAAAATTTATAATGGATCATAATTCATATGTTTAAATATCCCTGCTATATTATTTTTCTTTGATTATCCTTTATTAAGTAAAGTTACGCCATTTTGAGAGAATGAAACAATGTACGATTTACTGATTGTCGTAATTAATTAGCATAATTAATTCGTTCAATTATGAAAATCGCACTTCACCCGAGTATACCCGATAGACCGGACGCATTTCATAGCGGTCCGGGTTTCTTTCTTTATTAGTGTTCTTAAAAAATTCCAATTCAACATGTAATTAAGTATGTAAATATCTAGTAGTTTAGTAGTAGTGCTAGTTGTTTTTATTTCTCTTTTTCCTTTGTTCTTATGACTTTTTAACTTTTTTCTTTGTCCTGAGGAAGGGACAGGGCGTCTCGAAAATTTGACAATTTTTATTGTTCGTGTCGTTGGTCATTTTTAGTGCTTTATATATATATATATATATATATTTATCTCATACGTGTTGGTGATACAGGCCGTTGGATAAACTTATGCTTTATCAACGGGTAGATGCTTTATCAATAGCACTTCCGGTTTTGACACGAACCCTCGCTTCAAGATTTTATTTTATTGAAACTTTTATTTGTGAAAATTGTTGCCCTTATAAAATGAATGATAAAGGGTAGCAATATCGTTAAAAGCAAGATGTCAAAGAAGTGTCTTATTTTATCAAGGAACCCGTTGGCTATTTGAAGACAGATGTTACCCCCCCCCCCCCCCCTCTTAGATCGTTTTCGGAGAAAGTAAAGCCTACATGTACCAGTTAAGTTGTTGTTATAAGACTCCTTTGACATTTTTAACAATGCTTTCTTATATTATACTACGTATGCCTACCTAGTAATGTAGGTGTAACTTACCATGGATCAGCAAACAATCTAGACAAAGTCTAGGCCCCTAGCCTTGCCTAGCACGATTTGTACTGTCATCGTAAAAAGAGTTGATTTTCACGATCCCCATAGTCCTAACAACTTTCAGTCAGAAGTTCGTTTGATGTAAAGCTCTAGCAATTTTCACATGATGTTTTCAAAGACACAGATAGCAAATATTCTAAATTTTGAACTCGATCTACTTTCTCTCGACGCATGTAAACATCAACGGTGCTACGTCATCAAGTTATACGTCATCAATTTGATTTTGGCAGTCATTCATGTACTTTCGCAGGGGAAGTCTCAAAGTTTTGTTAAAACGAAAGTCGTATGAGATAAATAGAACATCTATAATTGTGTGATTTGATATTGGCTTTATCTAACTCGTTGAAATGGTGTATATTCGTTTGGTAAGCCTCATGAATATATATACCATTTCAACTCGTTGGATAAAGCCAATATCAAATCACACAATATAGATATCCTCTATATATATATATATATATATATATATATATATATATATATATATATATATATATATATATATATATATATATATAAGAATGAGATTCATGATTTCAAATTATTTTTGTTACAATTTTTTTGCTATTTGTGCCATTTTTTTACGACCAGAATGAAAAAGGGAACCATTCCAACCCAAATATTATTTCATGTTTTTAATCTTGGCATTCTGACAAATATTTTCATATATTTCACAAAGGGCAAGAAAGTTTACAGTGTGGAACCGGTAGAGTATACATCACACCAGAGTGTGTCTGTACCTATCATAATGTATGGGAAGCAATGTACCATGAACATACCTCATGTCCTGCCAACGAGAAATCAGACAGTGTCCTGCTCCTTAAATGTAAGTTATTAACAAAAATATTCTGATTTCAATAAAAACCAAGTGCTTGTGTAGATATCCTCTTTAAATTAGAGTTCATTGGAATCCGTTGATAACTACACTGTATAAGATTTTTCTTTACCAGTTTCTCAATGATATTTTTTTCCTCTTTTTATTCTCCAGGCTCAGACTGTGAAAAATATAGTCTTAATAATACGGGTCCGTGTATAAATGGAGGAATTCTGAATTGTGAAAATGATGCATTGGCGCCAGATATTCAATGTGATTGTCCAAATGGTTATTCTGGGATGTTTTGTGAGAATGAAATGCAGAAGGTATTTCAGTTTCATTAACCATGTTAAAAACAATGATATCTTAAAGATTCATATGTAATAGACTTTAAGACATTGTTTACTTTCACACATAGGTGACAAGAGTATGTAACAGAACGCTAAATAAAGATGGTTTACAAAACTGTGATAGTACTAAAAAGGAATGCATTACGTATAGCGAAAAGAAGCATTATATGTTTAAGTGTAATGAAATTTTACCTATCGGGGAAGAAAAGGGTACGTATTTACAATAAATTGATAAAATAATGCTAAAGTGATGATGTTCTTAAAATTGTATTTTAAAAGTAACTTTGGTCTTATAGGTAATTTCAAATTCTAAAGAAGAATATTTTCAAACACCTTCAATATCATTGACTTAAAATTTGTCATAATAACGTTGCTTGTTTGACTTGACAACGAGCACACGGCGGGTGTGACCGGTCGGCAGGGGATGCTCACTCCTCCATGGCACCTGATTCCACCTCTGATGTTTCGGAGGTCCGTGTTTGCTCTGCTCTGATTTTGTATATTGTTTAATGGACTTTGAGATTGAATACTGTTCGTTATCTCCATATCCTTCTTGATGGTGTAAGAATTAAGATTAGTAATAATGAAAAATGGTTCATAATGTAGAATCAATTAGTAATTTATAGCGACCGAATGTTTTATGTTTTATCTACAGATTTACCCTTATGTAACAATACAGAAACAGTTACTGAGGCCAAGCTCTCTTCATCGAAATCTACAGATTCAACAATCTCATTTCTGGAAGACGACCGCAATAAACCAAGCAAAGATTTGACTTCAGGGACTAATGGAATGTTATCCAGTTTGTTGTTAATATTTTTAACAAACCAAGGTTTTTATTTTCTGTTTAAATCATAATTGTATATCCTATTATTATATATTTTATACTTCATTTTATAAAAAATATATTCTTATCATTTACTTTACATGCAGAAGTGATTTTATTATCAATCAGTATTGACAATTTATCATTTTGCACTGTGTAATATCATAGTTTTATCTGAACTCTGTGAAAACCGACATTTCGAGTTTCGATTTCTATGCAAATAATAATGATCTCAGTGAATTTTAATATTCATTGTACAAAATTCAATAATTCAAAATGTAAAACATGACGTGTAAATGGATTACCCAAATTGATTAAAATCTCAGAACCAGGTCAACTATCATCCGCTATTGAGGTTTGAAATTTTTTTTATAATAATTTGGACATGAAATGTACGATCAAAGTTCTAAGAATTGTCAAAAATTGATTCCTTTGAATAAAATATTTGAATTATTTAGTTCACTATTGTTATGAACAAAAGAGTTCTGTTAAAGTTTGATACATGTAATGATTTTCTTTGGGTTTCTTTGTGTATGTGTGTTTTCAGATTTTTTTTTTTGTTTTTTTTTTCTTTGAAAGGCTGTACTAAGACATTTAATGATGCAATAATCATTTTAATCAATTTTATAACGTGCGTTGCATGTGCCACTGGTAATCAAAATGCAGTGAAAAGCGTCGATAAGTAATCAAATATTAAGGTTCAATTTAATGAATAACTACATGAGAATAAAAACATGCATTATTTACCTTCTTGCTGGTATTCCTTTGTCTATTTATGCTATCATATGCTCGCATATTTATTATATTTTTATTTAAATTCTTGTAAATACCAGACTTTTCTATGCAATATTTTAACTGTGAAATATCATGCATATTAGTCATAGATTACATTATATGTTCTATGTATGAGTAGTTTCTAAAAAGAGGTAAGTTACAAACAAATTGATATAACAAGAATATTAACATTCTTGTTAAAAGTCTTCATTTCGAAGTTCTATGGTCAATGCAATAACTTTGTCAGCAAATACAATTTATCATTCAGTCAAATGCATTGACGTTTTTCATGCATATCATTAGGTATAATTTGCACACTGAATTGTTAATGGAATTTCTCCGATGTTTCCCGATCTTGACAAGGACAACATTCTAACCAGTAGTTTTTCGGACTTTGCACTTTGCACCGAAATTACCTGAATATTCTGGACATGTATTTGAAATAGTAAAATGTATCCTTTTTTCTCTTAAAGACTAGAAAGTAAATTATATTAGTATGCAATAAATATTAATATTGTTTTCTGTAAAAAAGATAAAAGTTCAGGAAGCAAACAGGATGCATAAGGCCGATGTATTTGTCTTTCATAGCTACATAACAATAAAACGAGAGAATATAAAATACCAGTCTTCACCACTTTTATCTTTAAAAAAAAACATAGAAGTACAAAATTATACCCCTCCCCTCCCATATGATTATAATGGCAAAGTAAATGTTTTGCTATGAGAGGCCCAGGAAATAAGAGTCAGATGAAAAAGAAAAATAGAAGGTGCACAATGGCAGTAAGTTATAAAGAACCTATAAAAGTATCGTTGAATTTTTTCAGTGGTACAGGAGGAATTGCGGAATAGAAAATGGATATTCCTCAATATGATAGAAAGAATAGTAGTGTCCATGTTTTGCTATGGGAAACCCAAAATATGTGTCTTATCAAAAAGTAAAATAGGAGGTCATAATGACACAATGTAACAAAGATTTTATAAAATTTTACTCGGTGGTATAAGAGGAGTTGAGGAGAAGTGATGGGTACCCAAAGACATTACGGACGGAGGTGTGGTCAGTGATAAACTGTAAATCCCGGCCTTTCAAGCGAAGGATATGACAATTTATCTCTCCTTGTTAAATCGATATGCGCGAGCATAATTTACAGTTGCAAGACACTTACAAATAAGATGCTAAAAAAAGTAATCTCGAAAATCATATCTTAACTCATCATATTCTACCGGTATGAATTCTATGATGGAAATAGACTTGTTTGCAGGTGGATTGTTTTTATGTAAATACTTGAGCCATTAATTCATTATTCATTTATTTATATCTACGGATTCTTCGTTTATTCGATCTTGATTAGGGGTTTAAAATTACACGCATGACCGATCCCAAGGGATGCTTACTCTTGCATGGTAACAGATCCAAGTTTTATGTTTGTTCAATCGGACGCTTACTATCCATGTATTGACTTTTAATAACTAGTCCTTTGCTTTTGATACAACCATCAATGTTTTCAATGTCTAGTGTCCAATCTAGTCTATTTCTATATAGTTTGATTGGACTATTCAGCATGATTACACTTTTTCATGTTCTAATTTTACGTCTTAGTTAAGATCATAATGCATAGACAAATAAAAATTTCATTTCAAAGTTATTTATCTCAAACATATCACATCAATAAGCTGCGCTTAATTGAAACATCCAACCTCTGTATCCCACCAATACAGAAAAAAAACAAGTGTCATTCAATTGTATCAATTATACAAAGGTATGAATAAAACTCCGATTAAAATCGAAAAAACAAATTTAGACAGCGATAAAGAGATTTCTTTTGTACTTTTTACAACAAGGATGATTAAACATCAGAGAAATACCAATCACAGCAAAATACTTCATTCTTTTTTTTTCATCACGAATTATCAATTCCACTCCTTTGAGCCAATGACCACTAAAAACGAATATGTAAGGCAGTAAACGTTGACGTGTATGGGGAACGAGCTAGCGGTAGTTATCAACATCTATTTCTCATTAACTGTTGGAAATATACTTGTCCACATAAAGAATATATAAAACTGTATGTACTAGGTCGTAAAATCAATAAATTAGAGATACCACCTCTTCGTGAAAAATGTGCACATGTTATATCTACTGTAGTATGAGCTGATGCCTCAAAAATATAGATCGTGTTAAAAACTTTTTAAATAATATAATTGTTTGTTTGCTGTTTAGCGCCCCTCTCCAGAATTTTTCACTCATATGGAGTCGCCACCACTTGCCAGTGGAAGGCTGCAAATTTTGACCTATGCTCGGCACTTAGGGCCATTGAGCAGGGAGGGATTCCTTTTTCGTGCCAGCACCTACTGCGAAAGGGGACTTCGTTTTATACAGTTAATTATTAAATGATGATGGTAAATCTTATGGAGGAAGCATATTCACCAATTTACTTATCTTATATCCATCTGTTAAAGGGACATGGACACAGTTTCAACTGATTTTTTTAAAACCAATTATAATGTTCACAATTCCTAATTAAGGCAATTCAATGATCAGCAAAAATTTGAATATCATTTGTTGATTTACAAAGAAGATACCGAACTTAAAATTCTTCAAAATGTAAACAAGACTCGTGCTTTGTTTTTGTTTACATATAGAAAATATCATTTATAACAGAACAAGATTCAATAAATCACTAGATGTGTCTAATAATATTTAGAATTAAGTTCTTTATTAAAGAATCTGCTCTGAACGAATATATATAAACATATTTAACCTATGTAAACAAAAACATGACACAAGTCCTGTTTACATAAGAAAGGTTTGGAGCTCTAAATCAGTCTTGTATCTCGACAACTAAAATTCAATTTTTTAAGTTTTTGCAAATTTTTATGCAGACTGGAACACACACTGGAGTGTACTTTGGACAAGCTGACGTACACACTTTGGAACAGGACAAGTTACAGAGTATTCAACTTACTCTTACTCGTACCCCCCCCCCCCAAGCCTCCGGATTAGTTTGTGATAAAAGATACCACAGAGTCTGAGACATCCGTTTAATATTTAGATATTTTACTTAAAAAAGACGTTCATGGCAATCTAACAACCAAACTCTATGAAAAACGTGATGACTTTTTTTCAATAGTCAACTTCCCTTCCTTATGCAGCAATATACTAGTACCTTCATCCTCTGCATACGGAGTTTATATATCTGAATTTATTCGATACGCAAGAACATGTTTTACGTATGAGCAATTTCTAAAACGAGATAAATTATTGACAAACAAGTTGATGAAACAAGAATTTCAGCAGTTTCGTTAAAAGTCATTCTATGGTCGAAACACTGACCTTGTCAGCAAATACAATTTATCAAATGACAAGTAATAATTTGAGTCAAGTACTGACTGACGTATTTTATACAACTTGTAAGACCATTATTTATACACTAAATTAACAACGGACTTTTTCCGATATTTCCCGATCATGGCAAGGAGCAAAGAGCGGGTGTGACCGGTCGGCAGGGGGTGCTAACTCCTTCATGGTACCTGACCCCATATCTGAAGTTTTGGAGATCCGTGTTTGCTCTGCTCCTACTGAGTATTTTGTATTGTTATAGACTTTTGATCTTGAATACTGTTGCATTATGTCCATTCTTATGTCAATTCGCTATATCCCAATGAACTTGAGATAGATAAAACTACAAAATCTGACACATCTGTTTAATATTTGGATATTTTAGCGGGGAGAAACGTGATTTTATCGCAACAACAAAATTTGATAATACATGAAGGATATGGAGACAACGAACAGCACTCAATCTCAAAGTCCATAAAACAATACAAAACAAAAATAAGAGCAGAGCAAACACAGATCTCCGAAACATCAGAGGTGGGATCAGGTGCTATGGAGGAGTGAGCATCTCCTGCCGACGTGTGCTTCTTGT